CGCAATTAGGTAAATAAAAATATTTATCCTACCTTTACAATTTTCGTTGACAACAATTTTGAGTCCTTTAAATCCACTTTTCATAGTACAGCTTTCCAATCTTTGCAGAGTCCTTTAAAAAATATAAAAAAACAAGCAATTATAAACTTATTTCAAGGTATAAAGTAATATACAAAATCCAAATAACATTTATATAACAAGTACTATTTATTCCACCTCAATTGCTTCGGTTTGGAAAGTATGTGTAGAGGCGGAGGGCGTGGCGTAGCCACATTAGAGCAGAATGTAGGTGGCTGGGGGCAACAAAAGTATTTGTTATGCGGTAAAAATGCATAAAAATCCTGAGACCGGCATTTATTTAAATTTATGCCGTTATAACGTAATTTTGCATTACCCCAAAATGATGGTGAGAACCCCCAGCACCACCCACAGAAAAAGGCACCACCCTTAAGTTTAGCGGCTCGCTGGTATTTTATTGTTGCACTTGCGGTTGTGTGTGAGTGTGTGTGTGTGTGGCACACTTTACCCGGGTATTTTTATACAAATTTTTGCACATTTTGCGGCGAAAGCCAACACCGACACCGACAAAGCCCAAAAGCAGAAAGCCAGAAAGTTGCGATGCCGCCTTTTATTTTGGTTAAATAAGTATTTGGCAATTGTTATTTGAATAAACCATACTTCCCATACTTTATCCTTTGTGCAACACCCAGGACCCCTTGTTTTCATTTGCCATTATTATTTTTTCATCGCATTTCAATTGTTTATCTGTGTTTACGTACGATTTTTTCCCTTTTCGAGATAATACGAAAGTTATTCATTTGTTATGCATATGAAGTGGATCCAAAATAGTCCTGTGGTTTATTGCAGCCATTTCCACAGTTATTTTATGGCTGGAAAACAACAAAGGGCTGGATTTCGCCAGTTAGAAATGGCAGCGGCGAAGTTGGAATTCTCTGCAAATTAGTGGGGCGCCTGAGTGCGGCTTCCGTTGTGATTACAATGGCAAATTAATAGCGAATTCCTGCTTTAAAATAAGGACTCTGAGAGTCCTCGTTCAACCTGTTAAAGTTCTGAACGAAGTGCAAACACTGTGAGCCTTCCATTTGTCACTTCCAATTAGGCCAAGTCAAAGCGAGAGTCAGGTGAACTCTGGCCCGGCTGCTAATCTCCCGACATCGACATCCTGTCTGTTGTCTATTGTCTCCAATCTCCAGAATTCGGATACGGGGGGCCGGCCGACCGGCAGACTCATTCAATCAATTGAAACACTGACACTGCTTTCTGTGTTTTGAATACAAATTAGCCAAAGTGATGGCCGCCCCGCAACATGCAACTGCCACGCCTCCAATCAAGGACACTCGAAAAAAGGAAATACGTTTCAGTTGCACAAATTCGTAATTGGTAAAGCAATCTTAAGTTCATCTTACCATCTGTCAAAATTAAGGTTTAAGGGTTCTGAACTTAATGAGAAGTAAGGAGAAAAATACCATTTGATTTAGAATTAATATTGTTTTGGGTTTCAAGATGTATTGAGTGTTATAAGTAGCAACTTTTAACTTGTAAATATTTTGTACCAATCATTTCAAGAACTTTATCTTTTATTGTAAATAACAATGTATATACTCTTGACACTTATTTCTCAGTGTTGCCTGCATGGACCTGGTGACTCGACCATTGATGGTGGCTTTGTCGTATTAAAACGGGAGTTAATTTAAATGCAAAGTAATTAATTAGACACTTGGCTGGCAAATCAAGTAATCCAATCTAGACCAAAAGGCCAAGGGGGGCAGGGCCAATCACACGTAGCGTCTACTGAATTGGAGGCTGACCCGCAAAGTGACCAAAAGGCTATGCCACCACGATATGCGCTATAACAAATCGGGAATATATGCCATATATCAATGGCACCGTGTGTGTGTGCTTATCCACTCGATGCCCAGACAATGGCAATTTCAATGATTTTGTTTAGCTCAGTGATTCGGAGAATTGAGTTCGACTGCACACAAATATATATACATATGTACATAATATCCATCCAGCTACGTGCTAGAAGCAAATTGGCAACGCATACGTTTTGAATGCCTCTCAATGAATTGCTGCCAATTTGCAATGGTTAATGAAACGCTTTGTGCGGCATCGATTGCGTTGTCGATTGCTACTAGCCAACTAATCCAGTCAGCTGGCAACATATAGTGACCGATTCCCTGCAGCTAATCTCCAACTTCTTCTCCCAGCTGCACTTTAATCGGCTCCATACGATTGTGCGCTTCACTTTCCCCAGCTTTCTTTGACATTTGAGTTACATTTTGGCCAGGTTTCATCGGTATCTGTGGCTTTGCTTTATTGCTCTGCACTGTGAGAAAGGAAAATTACCTAATAAGAAACCCTAATATTCCATAGAATTTAATCAAGAGTCTTATTAAAAGTATATATTCAAAACCAGCAAATGGTATCTAACGTTTTGTAGAATCTAAGGATGTCAGGCTTTGCTCCATTTCTCCAAGTGTCGTTCTGCTCATTTCAATTTTGTAATTGAGATTAGCACTTTGGGAATAATGGAGATCAGATCATTTAATTAACTTTGTTTTCGAGCACGTCGCTTCCACTGCGGAGGATGTCAAGTGCTGTCTGTGTGGGCGTGGTTCTCTCTCTCTTTACACAGAGATGGAGATGGCAGAAAGGATTTGCCCATGGGTCTGGGTTCGTGATATACTGATATGCTGATTGAACTAACAAGTTCTCGAACGCAATAATAGTGGGCTCTTGCCGAGTGCCCTCAGTTGTCTGTTAATTTGCCGAGCAACAATTCCATTTGTTAATTCCGGATCCGGCATCTTTTGCTCAATTTGGCAAACATATGAAGGAGGCCCGGCTCTGTGTCCATGTGTCTCGATTTCATTTCCGAAATTGAATTGCCAAAAATGTAGCATCAGTTTCCGCACTCGGGCAGGAGTCTCTGTTCCTTGCCGTTCCCTGTCCTTCATTCTCCGTCAGTTGTCAGCCGGGTTCTCGAATCTCTGGCTTCGGCTTCACAGTGCTCAGATCTCAGTTCTCAGGGCTCAGTTCCCAGTTCCCAGTTCCAATTATAATTACGCCAGTCTCTGTGGGTCCGAGGCTTCGGTCTGCTGCTGCTCGATGCGTTTTTGGGTCTATGCATTTCATTTTCACTGACTGAGGAACTCCCCGTCCGCTTGCCATCTGTCCGATTCTGAATCTGAATGTCTCCGTCATCGTCTGGAGCTGAAACTGGAGCTGAGGCTGGAGCTGAGGCTGCTGCTGATGGTGTTTTATTTTCACTTTTGCCTCTCGCATGGCTTAGAATGAGCCAAATTGCATTCAGCTGTTTGTTTTTATGCGCTGTCACGAGAATTCCAAACTACTTTTGAATAATTTCATTTATTTATGTTGCCCATTGCTCGGCGCAAAAGTTTTGCTGCAGTTGCTCCGTTTCCTCCGCTGTCTGCAGTCAGTCAGTTAGTCGCTTATTTATTTAGTTTTCTTTCTTCTCCGTAAAAACTGACAAAAAGGCGCAAAACTTGTCGCTTGTGTGTCAAAAGTTCCTCCTCGAGACCTCGTCTCAGCTGCATTACTCCGCTGCCAATTGATTTCATTCCGCTAACGAAAATGCAAATCAACTTCTATTAATTAGGCTTGAATGCAAGAGGTATGCCAGGTTTTTCCCACACCAACAGGTATAGCATTTGGCAAGTGCATAGGTAGTAGTTAAGGCTTCTTTACACCTTTTCCCCCCTCTTGTAATAAGTCAGACTCTGGAAAGGGGATGGGGAATGTTTGCCTGCAGCTGAATGTTCTTGGCAGATGACAGCTCAACTCAAGGAACGTTAAGTATTGGATTTCATCCTATGCAATATAACGCATACGCCGCGTTATCCCAGCTAGGGATGATGGGCTTATAGAGCTAATTAGGGCCACAAATTCTGTTAAAATAATACGTGTCCAACAATGGCAGATTCTTGACAGCTAGCCAGAACGGTGTTCACCAAAGTTACGGCTCATTAATTCACAATGAAACCAAATCTATGAGATCAAACTACGGAAAGGTAGCATAATTAACAGATTTTTTGTGCTTACGGTGGAACAGAACATTATTTCTAACCTTATTCTTAAAGCATAATTAATAAATTTAATTCTAGCGATAGGGAGCATATTCTAAGTTTCAAATAGATTTTAAACAGCTTGGTTAACAATTGTTTAACACATTTTATGGCCCAGCTTTGGGGCGCTTTTCGATTGTTGGACCTGGGGCACGTTGCCTGCTTGTAGGCTGCATTTTCCAAAGAGCCACCAGGGCTACACGCAGCTCCATTCAAGCTCCGGCTCCCGCTCCCGCTCCGGTTCCAGCCAACTTGTCACCGGAGCAGAAGTTTCTGAATGCATTCTCGGCGCTAACTTCTTGCTGCGAAAAGTTGGCGTAAAATACTTTGCTCGAATATTGTTTTCGCATGCTTTTGTTGCGCTAAGCAGCCCATAAGAAGTCGTTTTCCCCCCCCCCCCCCTCTCTTGAATTTTCCTGCAGCTCGGAGCGCAGATCCATCCAGACAACGTAAATTGTGCTGTCTTTTTGAGAGTATTTTTTATTTTGTTTTGTCTGTGTTTGTGTTGTGTTGTGCCTTTTTCGGTTCGCTGTTTTTTGTTTTATATCACTTTAGTCGGTGTGCTTCTTGCATTTCTGCCATGTATTGGCATTTCAGTGCTTATTTGTATCGTTTTCGTTCACTTTGTTGTTACTTTCGTTATGGCCGTTTTCTTTCTTTTGTTGCCAACTTTGGTGCTGCTGCTGCTGCTGCTGTTGTTGCTGTGCGGTTGCTGTTTTCAATTTTGTTGCAATCGCAACGCATTTTCTTTTTGTTTTGTGTTCTTTTTCTCTCTCTGGTGCACTTTTTTGGCAATTTCCTCAAAACGCAAAAGCTGAAAAGTTTCCCGCACACACAAACACACGTATATAAGCTTTATTTTCCCATTTTATTGGGTGTGTGTATCGATGTGTATGAACTTTATTTTCTCTTCAATCCACTTTGTAACATCGGCATTTGGTATGCATGCGAGAACTATGCAAATCCTTCATTAGCCCCTCGCAGCGATCCCAAGAACTGATTGCTATTTGCGCCTCTTTCGTGGACTCATAATGCCCTAAGGGATCCGTGGATTTACTTCAGAAGACTGGACATGAGTTCCTGCAACATGATACTCACACGGGCCCGCTTCAGAATCGAGTCCTTGGAGACATCGTAGGGATTCTGCTTCGAGGGAATCTCAATCACAGTGGGCACGGCCAGCAGGTGGGCATCGACAGTGGGACGAATCACATCCGCGTGCTCCTGATTGATCAATATGATGCCAATTTCGGGGCGGGCCAGGAAATTCTTGAAACAGGCCTCGATTTGGACAGGAGTTGTGCCTAGCAAAATGTGGTATTTATACTCCTAATTAAAGAAGTTAGCCTGATTAAAATTACGCTTATCAACCACCATGAAATTGGCCTGCCGATTCTCATCCACTTGTCCAATTCCGGCCAGCATAAAGCCCACGCATGTGTCCTTCAAGACATTAACTTGAACTTTAATCTCATTTATATAAGAGACACCCACCTCATCGCCGATCACAGCCAATAGTTGCACCATATCCTCCGTCTCAAGCGACGACATAGTTATTGAATTATTCATTTTTAAAACTCAATAAAATGATTAACAAATATTACAAGATGAAAGGTCAACTGACAGTTGGTACTAAGTATAGAAACCAACTCATGATTTGCCTTTGAGCATTTAACCCTTTACTACTAGTTACAACAAATTGAAATTTTTTGCTGCAATATGAATACTACAGTAAGTAGAGCAACTAATGTACAAGAGCTTCCGATGACAAAACAATTGTCCGAGTGAAATGGATTTCGAAAAATGAGAGCAGGAACTGAAATGGAAAAAGGGGAAAACTGCACTTGACAGCTACGCCGCATTTGATGGCAAATCGCTGGCTGCACTTCGCTGTTTGTAGTTTTGTCAAGCGTAAAACAAGTTTTATAATTGTTTAAAATGTTTTGCTGCGCAGCTGTTTCAGTTTTTTCAGCTTTCTGTTTCTGATCCTGCTGCCGCTGTCCATTGCAGTGCAATTTATAACGAATTTTTGTCAGTTGCCGCTCAAAACTTAATCGAAAACAATGGTTTTATGTGTCAAGCCCACTGCCTTGGGTAGCCTGAAGCCTGAAACTACCCGAAGAAACTACTCCCTTAAAGCACCGCACCGTTTACGTAAGCCTGTTCACACTGCGTCGGCTCCTAATTGGATTAGATAACTCCCCAAAGGGCTTAGCAAACGAAGCCGAACCGAAAGCGAAACTCCGCCCACGAACTTGACTTGGCGCACAGATCACCTTTGTGGCTTTGTCTCTTGTCCCCTCTTGTCAAGTGAATCGCTCCAGATCTCCCCGCATCCAGAGATCCCAGAAAGCCGGTTATGTGCACCACGCCGGCTGTTAACTCATTTGCGTTACGTAGGCAAAGGCAATCCCTAAGCCTAAATGCGGCTAATTGCCGAGCACGACTTTCGACAGACCGCGCCAAAGAGCCAAAGAGCCAAAATTCCAAATAGCCCAAAAAAGCCAGCTGCCACTTGAACCCGACACACAACACGGCTCTCAAACTCCATACAACACTTTTTTCAAATCAGCTCTAATTGTTTACAGTTTACAGTTTACATATCAATGACCATTGTTGTTGTTGCCGGCGTGTGGCATAACTAATTATGATTAATGCTTCAAAGCCAGCCCCTGACATTTGCCATTAATTGACAGTTGGAGCAACGACAGCGACAGGGCAGACACAGTGGCACAGAGAGAAAAAAGCATATGATTATCCAATATTTGGGAGTTAATAAACGCCTTTGCAATCAACTAAATATTCGTACTATATTATGGTATAATTATAATCTTTGGATAGCGAGAAGCGTTAAGGAAATAGAAACATTTTCTTATCATTACAGAAGTATAAATAAAGATCCCACAAAATGTTCTTACATTTCTTTTATAGATTAATCATAAATTACATGATTTATCTCTTATCTATATTTGATTTCCAAGTGCATGTATGCTCTCTCTCACTCTGTCGGTGCATTGAACTTATGGCTGAGTGGAAAAACTGTCATTGCACATGCTTATGTATACACCGAAATTGCAGTCATATAGTCCAGCATAGTATTTACTACCATACTGAAACTGGAAGTCAAAAGCCGAAACCGTAGCCAATCTGAAACCCAATCGAAGTCCCATCCCAGGCAACCAGGCAACCAGCCAGGCAATCGGTGCTTTGGCCCGCTGACCTTTTTCCACACATTGCGATTGCTAGCTAATGCCGGAGCCATCGGGATCCAGTGAGTTGGCCAGTCTCGAACTCACAACCGGCCTTCCGTGCTACCGGTTTTAGTTTATTGACTATTGGCAATTATTGACTATCAGGCAACACAGTGCCAAAGCAGCAACAGCAACAGCAACATCGGGAACGACAGACAACAAAGTTTCCTATGACTTTTGCTGGCCCGTCCCGGCTTCTTAAATATGGGCATGGTAGCATTTAGTGGGCTGTGGCCAAAAAAAAAAACACAACAATTTTTCACTTATGCTTAGCACGTTTTGCCTATTTTCCCGATTCGGTTAGTTGAAAATTTTAATTTTGATTACGAGTTCGGGATCTAATTTTCTCTTTTTCCCTACTTATATGTGTGACACGCATTGGTTATTGACACTGGCCTTTGAGCAATTTCTAAATGATTTAAGATAGAAGAACTTAAGTTTTCAGACTGATAATTATAATAGATTAAAAACTCTTGTATTTCTTAATGGAACCCCGCCCTTTCAAGGGAATTAAATGCTTACTGATGACATTTGCTTGGCCAGACTAGGTTTAGTCAGTTGCAGAGCAACACTAATCTGTACTTGGTTGGACCCGTGCTTTTATCAGGTACAGGTGTATCTGCATTCAAGCAAATTCTTTCTTCTTCTCACGACTGACTCGAGATGCCGCCTTCTGGCCGGGCCTTGTTTGCCTTCGCCTTTCGCCCTTCCCTTTTCGTTGGCGGGGCCTGAACTTTTGGAAGGCATTTCGAAGCTTGGCTAAGTGCAAGCACGCCTGTTATTTATTTAGTGCTTAAAATACCATAACATTTGGCGGGATTATATAATCGAACCTGTCGCCGCCGCTGCTCCGCATGCACATCACGCAAATCAAGTCAAAGCGGGCAAAAATTCGCAAATACGCTTTCTTCTGAGCTGTGAGCTGTGAGCTCTGGGCTCAGTTGTACTGAACTGAAATGAAGTGAAATGAAATCACACGAATTGAAATGAACCTTTCAATGCGCGTATCATGCTGCTACCGGTGCTACTGCTACTGCTGCTGCTTGTGATGTTTTCTGCCGATTATTCAACCACTTTTATTGAAAGGCAAACGGGCGCACAACAAGAGCAGTGGCTGTAATCACAAGGAAAGCCATGTGCAAAATGTCAAATGCAGGTACATGACATCGACATTAACGTCACGGCGACGACATCGGCCGATACATCTGTATACATAGTATGTATACCGCTGCCATTCACTATCCATTCCACATGCACTCGCAACTCACACTCACAAATCGCACTCTCCTTTCGCTTCGTCCAATCAGCCGGGGCTGCCAAACAAAATTAGCATAGCGACAATATAATAAACAAAGCACACAGTCAGCGCCGGCAATGGCATCCGCAAATGATTTCAGAATGGCACGGCGGCCGCAGGATGACAGGAAGCGTCGCATTTGGCATCCCGCTCCACGCCTAATTGGCAAAGGGCTACCCCGTCCTCGTGGTGTCTACACTGCAAAGAGACTTGAACCATTTCTAATCCGCAGATTGTAATTATGTTTTATAAGAAAGAATCAGCCAGGCCTATAGCAAAGTCTTAAGGATGATTTCTTTTAAGCCAATTAACGAATGTTGCGAATGGCAACGACTTTCTGTAACCTGGCAGTTTATTTTATTTTAAGTCAAAAGGTGTACGCTTATATTTATTTGTTTAAAGTATAAACTCTTAAAGAGGCTAAGCAACGTGTCTTATGTGAAAGCAGAAGAGGAAGCTAACCCGCCAAAGTTGGGGTCAGAAATATATATTGTAAGGGTAAGAATTCACTTGTCGTGAATAATTTACAATTAAGTTAGGCAGTTAAGTTTAATAACTCTAACTTAACTTAACTTGTGTAATAATATACAAATTGCTATATCTGTACATTAAAATTAAGTTAAACTGTCAATGGCAATAAGGGAGTTAATTGGAAAATTAATGCATAACTAGCACAACTGAATCTAGACTTAGATCTAGATATATGCATAGTCAGGTGATCATTTTGGGGTCGAATGGTAATCACTACTACTAAATCACCATCACTATAGATGTTAACACTGCGGCGGCCGCGAACAGAATGAGGCCGGAGCGACGGTCGTGCCTGTATTTATACTCTCCACGTAAAGAGAACTGAGAATGTGAGAGCGAGAGCGGCAGAGAATGATAGAGAGGCATGGATATCTCAAGAGATGCATATAGAGAGATAGACATACCAAATTTAATGGAGCTAAGGTGAGAGTGAGAGGGAGAAAGGGGGAGGGAGAGTGTGAGAGAGGGAGACAGAATTAATTTCGAGAAGCGGAAGTTGGTTTTCCCTTGCAATTGGTATCAAATCTGTTTTTATATATAAATATATATAAAACAACATATAAAAAATAATATATATAACGATGTAACCCCTTATAAAAAAATTGAACATTTTAAAAAGCTTTGAAAATTTATTTTTCTGCGGGACATGGCTTGATCGATTTGCCTGTCAATGCTGATCAATAATATACAAGGATTATCGGGTAGTCAATGAATACTTTACAGCTTCTGACCTAAAAAAAAAATATCCTAAATTAATATTAACAATGGACACATAATAAACTATTAAAGACAAGATAAATATCTAATATTATTTGTTATATAATGGAATTGAAACACCACTTAGATGAATAGTGTTCTTTAAACAGTTCAAGTTCTTTAACAACTTCAAAAGATCTTACTACCACTTTTGGTATTTTGAATCCCTAACTTTTTCGCAGTGTCTGTGCGATTGCGCGGGTGTTAACTGTTAAATGTGCAGTTGGTTATTATGCAGGGCCGTAGCCAAAAATCGTGTCAATGCATTGAACGCAGCTCTTTGGGTTGATAACCTCTGTGGCCGCTCCCCGGCCGCCATTCGTCTCTCTCTCGTACGAGTATTTGTCGATTCCAGTGACGAACTGGGTCACCATGTGGCCGCTGAGCTGGCGGTATTTTTGGGCCTTATTGGGCAAGCCGATGGCAGTTGGAGCGGGTGTTGGACAGACCAGAGACCAGAGAGCAGAGACCGGAGACCGGAGACCAGAGACCGAAACCGTTAATAGAAATGCATTAAAATCGAAACGTTTTGGCGTTTGTTCCAATTCTGAGAGCATGCCGCACATTAGTCCCAAGTAATGGCCGCCTGCAAATCACGCCGCGAATCTCAATTTATCCAAAAACGTCACGTAATTACCAGGCAGCCAGAGTCACACACTCCCAACGCCAACGACAAGATACATTGACAGTTGTTAGATACACAGCGGACTTCTTTCCAAGTTCGCAGCAGCTGTCTGCCGGCTGCAGATGCGTTTGATTTGTGTGTCTTCTCTCCCGCTGCTCG